AACACTCTTACACAAAATCTCGGTGAAGGTTTGGAGACTCACTCAAGTTAATTGAGGGAATCTTTGTCCAATAACTAGCTGACCACTAAGCTAACTGAACAATGACTTCAGTGGCAACACATGACAAAGAATGCAGACTTTACAGAATTATTCTAGGAAACCCATTAAACAAACAACCAAAACAGCAGCAGCAGCAATGACAAACACTACATGAAGGACTAATCTGAATTCCAAAGTTGACACCTTTAGCATGTCCAGTTTTCAACATTGTGCTGAACAAAATAAGACAATCACAAAAGAGCAACTATTATATAATCTGATTTATATGAAATGACAAGAATAGGCAGTTACCAAGAGTAAGAAGAGGAGCACTGGTGGTATAGTGGATTTGTCATTGGATTGCTAACCTCAAGGTCAGCAGTTCAAATTCACTAGCTACTTCATGCGGAAGGTGAGACTGTCTGCTCCCATTAGGATGTATAGTGTCCCTCCACTTCCCCGCTCCCCCGAGGGAGGCAAACAAGAGAAATGTGGGTGGAGAGACAGTGGACAGTGTAAGATATGAAAATAATAATAATCTATCATTTATCAGGGGTCCATGAGAGTGGGAGGGTGGGGGACAGAGGGAAAAAAGAGGAGCTGATACCAAGTGCTTGAGTAGAAAGAAAATGATGATGGCAACATATGTACAAATGTGCTTGATACCATTGATGTATGAATTATTATAGGAGGTGTAAGAGCCCCCAATAAAATTATATACATATATGGTACCATCTCAGGAACCCAAAGAGTCCATTTGACTTTGTCCTGTAGGATTGCTATTAGTTGGAATTGACTCGATGGCAATGTTTAAGAGCAAAAGGAAAGAAGATTGGGGAACCATTGCTTAGGAAGCCATGCAATTTTGTTTATGGCAATGGAAAGTTTAGCACTGATTAAGGATAATGGTTGCACAACATGATTAGTGTCATTAATATCACTAACTTGTACATCTGAAAAGGTTACGTTGGCAAGTGTGTTACATATATTTGTACAACAATAAATATTTCAGACTTCAATGGCATTAAGAGTCATGCAAAGAAATCAGAAAGAATGACTCATCCACAGCAAAGAAGGAGGAAAGGAGGGAGGGACAGAGGAAAGAAGAACAAAGGAAAGACAAAAGATCACGGAACAAAAACTGACCTTAGGAAATGTAAATAGGAAACTTACTAGATGAAGCCTTAATTCAGCTATGATAAATGTGTTTTATAAATTAACAGACATCATGGCTCAAGAGATATAGTAAAATATGAAAACACTGCCTCACCAAATAGAAAGTATCAATAAAGACAAGAGAAAATCCAAACCTCACTGCCATTGAGTTGCTACAAGCTAACAGGAGCCCTGGTGGTATAATGGTTATGCGTTGGGCTGATAACTACAAGGACAGGGTAGAGCTAGCCCTGTGAATTTCTGAGACTGTAACTGTTCACTGGAGTAGAAGGGCCCATCTTTCTCCCACTGAAAGGCTGGGGATTTCTAATTGCTGATCTTTCGGATCGTAGCCCAAAGCATAGGAGAACCCGTAGGGCCCAGTTCTGTGGGAGGGATGATAAATAGCTTAAATTGTTGAATTCAAAATTGATGGCCTGAAATGTAAATCATCACCTAATTCACAATGTTTTAAATATGTTAAAAATAAATAAACAAGGACAGTTCCAAGATTACAAAAGAAAGCAGTAGAAATTATGCAGCTAAAAAATGTTAAGAATGGAAAGGAAAAATTCACTAAAGAATCTCAAGAGTGGGTTTTATTTAAACAACGAATTGATAAACTTTAAGGTAGTGTCCTTTGAGATACCCACTCTGAAGATCAGAAAGGTAAATGAATGAAGTTCAAAAACAAAATAAAAGTCCATATGTCTATGGGACATCATCGAGCATAACAACCACACATGATGGGACTCCCAGATGAGAGGAGAGGAAGGGAAAGAAAGAACATTGAAGAAATAATCATTGTAAGTATTACTATGGTATTGGCCTGCCTCCATTGAAAAGGTCACTGCAGAGATTGGTGCGATAGCACAGTGTGGTGAAGAAAGCAGATGGTGCCTGGCTATGAGAAAGAACAGCAGCTGGGGTCTTAATGACTTGTCTTAGAACTAAGCAGCCATCTAAGTAAGTAAGGCATTAGCTAAATTCACAGGGAAGGAGGACACTAGACGAAGTGAACAAGCACTTGTAAATAAAAACCAAATCCAAGGGAGGGAATGGTTTAATAGCCTAAATTCTGAATATCTGTTTGCAGAAGACTATGTTTGACAGTGAAAACCCAAAACCCATTCTCAAGGTCCCCCAAGTGGATTAAGCCTTGGGTGAATTCCCTCTAAATTGGACCAGAGATGGAAAAGCCTTGTTGTTAGATAGGGTAATTTGTAAAGGGGATTACTGCAGTTACAGGTAGGTCAAAATGTGACACCTTGTCATCTGATCTCCCTCTTGAGCTAATACTTAATTGTTTCAAGTTTTAATATTTCGACTTCATTTCGATTGAGGTTTGTCTCTGTTTCATTTTGTTATTACTGTTGCCATTTTGTATTTTGTTTTGATTTTGTATGTTTTTCTGTGTATGAAACTCAGGCTAGGTAAACCTATAGAGGCAGCAAAGACAGCAACTGAATCTCATATGATCAAGAACCAATAGATATGACGGAAGAAAACCACGCATTAGCAGAAAACGAAACTCCAGGAATTTACAGAAAACCAATTTAGATGTTTCAACAAATAAATGCAATGCTAGAACAGCACCTTCATCTGTGCCAGACATTTTGGAAGACAGATGCCTGAAAAACCAACTGGAAGAGAGACATAATTGTGCCAATTCTAATGAAAGAAGATCCAACAAAATATGGAAGTTATCATTATTCATATCACAAAAAAGCACAGTTCTTGCGGCAATTCTGACTCATAGCAACCACACAAAAAAAGAATAGAAGTTGTCAACGAAGTTTCTGAGATTGTAAATCTTGTGGAGCAGAGAGTCTCATCTTTCTGCCATGGAGTGGCTGAGGAATGTGAACCACCAACCTTTCAATTAGCAACCATTGCTTAACTCACTACACATCTTCATTAATGTCATTTTGTTGTTTTTGTCAGGTGCCTTCGAGTCTCTTCCAACTCATAATGACCCTTATGTATAAAAGAACTAAACACTGATTGATCCTGTGCCATCCTTACAATTGTCTTATATTGAAGCCCATTGTTGCAACCATCTTGTCTAGGGTCTTCTGGTTAGTGTAATTATGCAGCTATTGTTGGATAATCTTCAGCAAAATTTTACTAGCATGTGACATCAAGGATACTATTTCATAATTTGAGCATTCTGTTAGGTCATGATCTATGGAATGGGTACAAATTTAGATCCCTATGTGTCAGTTGACCAAGTAGCTGTCTTCCAAATTTCCTAGCATAGACAAATGAGTGCTTCCAGTGCTTCATCAGCTTGTTGAAATATTATAATTGGTATTCCATTAATTCAAGGAGCCTTGTTTTTGACCGTCAGTGCACTTTGACTTCAATATCATTGGTTCTTGCTCATATGCTACCTCGTAAGTGTGTGTGTGTGTCTGTGTGTGTGTGTGTGTGTGGGCGCACACATGCATATGCCATCATTCTACATGGTGTTCAAGTCCATGGCCTTTTCAGAAGGACATGGCCAGACCTTTCTTCTGAAGCAACTCTGAATAGGTTCAAATAGGCACCTTTCAGTTGGTAGAGGTTTAACAACTTTTGCCATCCAAGGGTGCCATTCATTTGTATAGGATTGTATATATATAACATAAATTTCTTTAATATGGAAACCTAGAGATCCTTAAAGAGCACATCTATAATTGAACTGATAAGAGAAATAATGAAGGCTGTATTAACCTAAAATTGACATCCAGAAATAAAAAGGTGATCATTCTGCCTCAGATGGAATATTCTATCCATGCCCCCAAAATTTATTTTAAGAAAAATATTATCAAAATAGAAAATATCTATGGAAGAATCCAGAGAAATTGACTAGAATTTTGAGTGTGAATAAATTGTGATATATCAAGTAGCTCTTCAGATTGGTGAAAGGGAAACCCGTGGAGTCACTAGAAGGGTTCAGACATCACTGAGTGACTTTGCTGATGACACTAAAATAACTATCTATACAATTTGGGTGCAATTCCACAACAGAAATGTATTGCTTTTTATAGAAATATCCCTATAGCTAGTAATACAAAGGAAAGCAGGTAACATGTATCAATACACCTACAAGGCTGAAACTCTATGCTAATTTGTTATGTGAACCTTCTATGCGGTGCAGTCAGGGTTGTCATTATTACTCACTTGCAATGACTCCACTAATCTGAGGTCTCGGCTGGCCCACTGCCAGTATTTGCCATTGTTTTTGTTGCTGCCACTGTTTTTGTAGTAGCTGCTCATTTTAAGTTGTCTAGTGTTTTAGCCACAATATCAGGGCGTTTAGGCTTTTGAGCCTATATTCATCACTTTAGAAAAATAAAATCTTAATGAAGAAGTAGAAAAATAAAGAAGGCATCTGCTCAGTTACAAATGATGTTGCAATTCAATATGGAAAGATTTGACAAAATAATTTTGTTGTTAATATTCATATTAGCTAAGACATACTACATTTCAGTAATTTACAGCTACATGTATTATATGCTATTTTTAAATTAAAATGGATGGTAAGTACTACTAAAGCTTCTGATTGGCCTAGTACAGAAGGAAGTCCTGGGAGAGGTGGGTGATCCCAGGAGTTACCACACTGGACGAAACCCAATGCTTTGGGTGCTTCTGAGGGCGAAATATTATCTATCTATCTTCAAATATTTGGGTGGCTATTATGAAGATGGAAGATTAAACACAAGCTATTAATTTCCAGAGATAACAATTAGAACCAAGAGAAGGAAGAAGCTTTTTTAATACTTAGAGATAGTTGACAGCGGAATGTCTACCTTTTAGCAGTTAGTCAGAAAACAGAATGCTTCAATTTAATCTTGTGCAACGACGAGCCATAGAAAGAGATAGCCGTGGGTACTTTTCAAACACTGATAGCTCATGATTATATTAAGTTCTATTAGATTGTTTCCATTATTTCCATGATCTTTTGTAAAGGGACTTGCTGAAATTTTTCTAAACACTGGAGAAGTTGTCATTGTTGAACTTTCTATAATAAATGACCATTCACATTATGGTACGTATCCTTCAGTGAAGAGACTAAAATCACTGAGAATCCTAAAGTACCAAAATACTTATTTTTACAAGTTTAAAAAATGTCTGTTGTTAGAATTCAATTAAAAATCAACCCAATTTTAAAGCTGTACCCCAGAAAGCCAATCAAAACGATATTGAAAAGCTTGCAATACAAAGCCGGTAAAATGCTATCTATAGGGGAAAGACAGCAATAGCATTAATATTACGTCTTTGAAAGGGTGTCCCCTCCATTGATGTGAAATAGTCTCACTACAGAGCTTTAGGATGCAATCCTCCTCGGCCAATCACTTTCCGAATAGCCATCTGGACATCTTTGTTCCTGAGGCTATATACCATGGGGTTTAACAATGGAGTAACAATTGTATAGGTCACTGTCACCAGCCTATCTTTACTGGATGAAAATTTGGATGATGGTCTCAGGTAGACAAAGGAAGCACAGCCATAGTGGACAATAACCACAGTGAGGTGGGAGGCACAGGTGGAGAAGGCTTTTCGCTTGCCTTCAGCTGATGGGATTTTCAGGATGGTGCGAACAATGAAACCATAGGAAATGCAAATGAAAGTCATGGGAACCATCAGAGCTAGAACTCCACCAATGAAGATGATCAGTTCATTGATACTGCTATTCGTGCAAGCAAGCTGGATGACTGGTGAGATGTCACAGAAGTAGTGGTTGACCTTATTGGGACCACAGAAAGGGAGTTTGAAGACTAAGAGTGTTCCTATTAGTGAGAACAGAAAGCCAATCCCTGCACAAGTGGCTGCCAGTTGTCCACAGAGCTGCCAATTCATAAGGATCGGGTAGTGAAGTGGGTGGCAGATGGCAGCATAGCGGTCATAACCCATCACTCCCAGGAGCAGGCAATTAGTGACAGCAAAACCAAGAAAGAAGAACATCTGAGTGGCACAGCTAATGAAGGAGATTGTTCTGAGCAGAGACCACAGGTTTATAAGCATCTTGGGCAAAATGACAAAGGTATAGCATGTCTCAGAGATGGAGAGGATCCCCAGGAAGAAGTACATAGGTATGTGGAGGTTGCGATCCAGGCGGATGACAGTGATGATGGTGATGTTCCCACTCAGAATAACCAGATATAGAAATAGAAAAACTGCAAAGAGAATGAGCTGTGTTTCTCCAAGGCTGGAAAATCCCAGTAGCAGGAACTCTGTCACAGAGGAGACGTTCACTGGGTTGGCCGGATCCACGGAACTGACCTAAGGAAAAGAGAAACGAAGGAATAGATTACTGAACCCTGAAAGATGCAGACAGGCGGCCCACTATGGAGTAAGGAGCAATAAATCACAGAATGAAGGACTACTACTACTTCAAAAAAGATGCCTTACTAATTATCTGACCATTGAATTGTTTCTGAACACTCAGAGAAGTGACATCCATGTTCACTGATAGTTTTATCTCTCTTATCATATTGAAGTTTAGGTGATCGTCCATACTGCCTACTCCAAAAAAAATAATTAGGGAATGAAAAGTAAAAAGTTTTCCTTTGTAACAACTTTAATTCTGCCATTTGTCAGTTCCATAATGCTCTATACCTGGGTTTCTTTATCTGTGTAACAGAGTCTGCAACAGAGGACACTAGCATAAGTTTTCATTAAAATTACTTTGCAAAGCACATACACATTATAAGCTTTTAGTAAATGTCACATTCTGCTACATAGCATATGATTTCATTTTCAAGAAGTGACTTTTAGGTTTTCTTTTTGTTGTTTTCCTTTAAGCTTATCTCCAAGGTTTAAAAGAAAATACACACACACACCAAAAATCCCACCCCAAACATTATCATTTTATTTTAACATGAACTGTCAAACTAACATTAAATACTAAATGCTATTCCTCCATGTTTGTAGTGACAATATTTTATAAATTTTAATTTATATTTCACTGAATCATACAATCTGTCTTTGCAGGCACAGTAAGTAGGAATATGTAAGTCGCTCTAATAAAACAAAATTCTCACAGTTGAGTCAATCATTGATTCTACTAAATTTCTATCATCTGCCAAGAAGATAGGCCCGGTTTAGATTTTTGCTGTAATTGTAATATTAAACTTCAAAAAAATAAAAATAAATCAAGTAATCAGACTTCTCCTCAAAATGAGCTATTGTAATTCTTTATGGCAATATTTTTCTTGGATTTCAAGCAGAGTCTATTGACAATGCCTAACCTCTAGGCATTATTAAAATAAGCCAAATCCACTGCTATTGCATTGAAGCCCATCTCAGAGAGCCTACAGGACAGAGTAAAACGGTCCCTGGGTTTCTGAGAACTCCTGGCAGGAGTAGAAAGTCTCTTCTCTCTCTGACGAAGTGCCTGGCACTCGCCAAGTGCCGACCTTGCTCTTAGCAGCCTAAGTCATCATGATTCTCATTCATTACTATTACTGTGCTTTTGCTGGGGCCTCCTCACTTTCGAAGGGGGTGTTGCAACAGAAGTACCCATTTAAGTTTTCTAGCTAAGTGAATCATCGTCTAGCCAGTAGGTTAATGGGTAGAATTTATGCATTCCTTGAGTGGCCAAATTATCACTTCCATTCATTTATTTATTCATTGATGTGTTAACTAATTAATAAATTAAATGAGTAAATATACACATTTAACAAGTGTTATCTGCCTTACACAATTATTTTAAGCTCTAGAAGCAAAGTGCTATTTGCTGTTGTCACTTCTTTTCCACCAGTTCTTCTCTCCTGTCCCCAGATACATCAACAGTCAAATGTGGTTTCTCCACAGCGACACAGTTTTCTCATCTTATAGCCTCTTGTCTTTGTGCTTTGGCTCATTCTTTCTGTCATCTGGACCGTGTTACGAGGATAGCCTCTCTACTCATATCTATAGTGAGGTGTAAATTACTTGAAGGTAATTTTGTGTCCCTCATATCATTGAAAAATCGCATCACTACGTTACAAAGTATTTGTATAATGGCTTTTTAATTAAATATTTGATCTTTAAACAGCACCTTTGGAGAAGATATTATTTAAACTCACAGAAAAACATAGTGGCCTTTCAAGCCTTGGAAAGAGAATTCTGGGGTCAAAGATTCAACCTACTATACTTCAAACTATATGCTAATCCGTCACATATTGAGAAGTTGTAGAATATTAACAAGACCCCTCCATCACTTTTTTATTGCTCTAATTCGTCATAGTATTTTATACATCAATTGGTAGCTAACAAAGGAGAGACGCCAGAATAGTCCTTCCTTGGAGAATAGAGATATTTACCTCCTCATTACCCATCTCAAAGGCTTATACAGCGGGTTATTTGTTCACAGGATGTTAAGATAATGAAGTTCAAAAACAGTAAGTAGCAAGCCTGGAAAGAAAAGTGATTCAGTTAGAAACTCCATGTTTTACTTCTTCGTTGTTTATTATCTTTTTCTATTATACCTTGGTGACCAAATAATAATTTCATGTGGCATTCACGAATACACGATGAATGTATTATTGTTATTATTATTATTTAATCACTTCTTTGGGAGATCTTACAGTAATCATAACATTCCCTAATTCACGCACATCAAGCAGTATTGTACAAATGCTACCACAATCAGTTTCAAAACATTTTCTTTCTTCTTGAACCCTTTGATATCAGCTCCCCTTCTTAACAAGGTGTTATTAATATTTTTCCTTTGTTTTTCAATTCTCTAACAAAGGTTCTATCGGTTTAGCTGAGCATATCTTAAGGTATTTCTGTGAACCACTACTGGTGCCTATCTTGGCTCAATAAACAACATTTTCTTGTTTTTGTTTTTAATTCCCCCTCAAGCCCTATATTATTCTCTGTTTTTTCAATCCATCATATATATTTGTACCTTGCTCTGACCACCAGCACTAAGTAACTTAATAGACAGATTAAAGCTCAGGGGAAAATTAAAACATTTCAAAATTTATCACTGGTATCACTTTTCAAACTATCAGATACCAAATGTTATCTTCACTCAATTTTCCATATAAAATGAACGAATGAGAGCATTCCCTTCTGTTCTCTAGCACAAAGCTATTGAACAGTATAGAAACCATCTTCTAATCAAACGGAATTTCCAAGACAAATATTCTCGCACCTGTTTCTATTCTTTCTACCACTGACATTTCAGTACTCCAAACTCTGACTCCCTACCTTCTCTGCCGAGAATTCTGAGAAGTATCCCCCAAAGCATCACTGAATGATTTTTCTTTTATCTCTTATTAGTTGTGGACCTAGCATGCTTGTTGATATTTATATTTTTCAAATCTCCCAGGAGTCATTATTGCAACATTATTTTTGGCCAATTCCCATCTCTGACCCAATTAGTGAAAAGGATGAGAAAAATACTATGGATCCCATAGGGAAGAAAGAACCAGTGGTGGAAAACTGGCATTAGCAATCAGTTTATTTTCTCTTCCAGTTTCCCTGATGGTTCATTAAGGAGCTGAAGTCTGTTGCAAATTAAGGAAAGGAAATGTGGAAAACTCACGTTACAGGAGGTAACACAGCACTAACTTTATGAACTATTTTTCATGAACCATAGCCCTCTGCTTAGGGATCATCATGACAAATGAAACCTTGATTTGTTTGTTTGTTTTCAAAGAAGAATTATTTCTTTAGGTCAAGGTTCATCTGAAACCTCAAAATCCAGCTTCTACACCAAGGGAAACAGGATAGTGTGAGAGATAGGGAAAATAGTGATGTCTTGGCTGGTAAGGTTGAATTCTTAAAGAGCAGCTACTTAGAACAGATTTGGGTACTGAAAGAAAGCTATGTAGTGTTTATGTGTCTCAGTAACCTTGTGCTGTTGTAACAGAAATACTGCATGTGGATGGTGATGCTGCAGGTTAGGTATTGGGCTACTAACCCTGGAAGAAAGATGAGTTGGTCTGATCCTGAAAAAAATATTTAGTCTCAAAAACTGTATATAGGATATATCTGCATCAGAATAACTCAATGGCAGTGGGTTTATTTTGTTTGTTGAAGACTCTAACTAACAGAAATCTCTTCTCTTACAGTTCAGAAGGTGAATTCAAGGTGCCAGCTCTAGAGAGAGCTTTCTCTCTGTATCTGTTTGGAGGGAACTTAAAACACCCGTGGGTCTGGTGTTTCTTGAAGATCTCCATGTGTCTTAGCATCAGTCTTCCTTTGGGTCTAGGAGTTCTCAGCGCAAAGACCCAGAGTAAAAAAGATTCATACTACTTTTGATTTTTCTTTCTTGGTGGTAGCTGCTCACTCCTTTCTCCTCTTATTTCTTGGGACTCAAACAAGTGTATGAAAAGTAAGAATGATAACCTTTATAAGTGTGATATTTGTGCCATGCCGTCTTATAAAACTGTCACTCAAGATAAAACCTGACCTAACCCTACCTCATTAAACTACCACTGTTAATTGTGGTTAGCTGTCACCTAGTCCATTTAAACCCAGAGCAATCCTATGTACAACAGAACAAAATACTACACAGTCCTATGCCTTTTTAAAGAGTAGCTACTAAGAGCAGATTTTGGAAATGAAGGAAAGCTCTATCTTGTTTAGGTGTGCTCACTGTTTTTGTAATCTTTTGCTGCTATAACAGAACAATAAATGTGGATGGTGGTGCATTGGGTGAGGTATTGGACTACTAACTACGGGGTCAGACAAATGTTCCTCTGTTCCAAACATTTGTTGTAGGCATTATGTCAACCCAGCTTCTTAACATTGAGAGGTCAGGGTTTATAATACCTATCAGAGAATGGAAGATAATTATATCAGATCACAAAATGGAGGACAACCATACATTTCTGAGGATCATGGCCTAGTCAAGTTGACACATGTATTAGGGGCAACACAATTTAATTCATGCAAGTCACAGTGGTTGTATTAGTCTGGGTACTTTATGAGAAACACATCCATAGAAGCTCATGTATAAGAGAGAGGTTTATATAAAGGTTAAGTGCACATCAAAATAAATCCCACCCCAGTGCTGCCAAGCCCACAAGCCCAACATTAACGTGTCCAACACCAATCCACAAATTCCTCCTCCATCTCATGAAAGAGATGTAATGATGCTGACTGCAGGAGGAAAGCCGAGTCAGTGAATGTGTAAACATCTCAACCCTGGCAGGGGTCTCCACACGGGTGCTCCCACACCCAGGACTGCATTTGGGATAGGTCCATGTGGCTTCTCCTTGGGGGTGTGTTGCAGGAAGTGAGCCTTGCAAGCTAAAGCAGGGAACAGGCTAAGGCAGCTGCACCCTGGTCTGACCATCAGAAAGCAAGAGACCTGAGAACTCGAAAGGCAATGCTCACTGAGGCATTTATCCCTCCGCTCTTCAATTAACCCAAGATGTATTTATGGGCCAGGTTGGCACAATAAACTAATTACCTCAGTGGTGATAATATAGTTTTGCCAACTGCATAGAAATTAAAGGATCTAAATATCCAGCATGGATGATGGATAAATAAAATGTGACCCATCTTTCAATAGATGGTTACTCAGCCATAAAGAGAAATGAAATCATGATCCATGCTAAAATATGCCTTGAAATGTGCTGAGTAAACTTAGTCACTCACAAAAGGACAAATAAAATAACTTAAAATAACAGAAAAAAACCCTCACTTAAAATAGACAAAAGAAACCCAAACAAACCCAAACTCACTGTCATTGAGTGGATGCCATCTACAGTGACATTAAATAACAGTTAGAATTGACCTTGTGAGTTTCTAATACCTTAACTCTTTCCCCCATGGTGCCACTGTTGGTTTCCAACTGCCAACCTTGCAGTTAGTAGCCCAACACATAACCACTATACTGCCAGGATTTCTTATTTAAAATAACAGGAAAAGGCAAATGTATAGAGAACAAATTTTATTAGTAGTTACCAGGAGTGGGAGGGAAGAGGAAAGAAGGCATCGTTGTTTAGGAAACAGTGAGTTTTTTGTTTATAGAGATGGAAAATTTGGCAAAGGCTATGGGTGGTCATTTTACAACATGATTCATTGTGTTAGGCAGGGTTCTCTAGAGAAACAAAACCAGGATAATTATGATGATAGATAGATAGATAGATAGATAGATAGATAGATAGATAGATAGATAGATAGATGATAGATAGTTTTATACAGCAAGACAGTATGTAACAGCTAATTAGCTCACATAGCAGTACAGAGGCCTCTGTTCAACTCACATTAGTGGAAGTTAATATACTGGAAGTTCTTTAACTCACTTGGGCTGCTGGGTCCAAAGTCAAGGAAACAGACACAGGAGTCTTCCTTCTGGCAAGGCAGGCACAGTCTGCTCCCAGGCAGACCCTTTGTTTCTATGGGGACATCTTAGCAGAAGATGTGGACCAAACCACACCCTTTGTTTCTATCTTAGTAGAAGATGTGACTTAAGGTACCATCCTTTGTTTTCCTTGGATGGAGTATATATATATACTGGTGCCACAAAATTGTAACACATATCACCTCACCTGGAAAGCCATACCTGTATTTCCTGACTGAGCTTTGGTAGAAGCAAGACTTACAGTGGCTTTTGGATATTTTCAGCTTCTGGCTCTGAGCCCAGCATTTAGCTCACCTCTGCCAGACCCTAGAGTTTTGAACTGACCTGCACCCACCAACACATGAGACATTTCCTCAAAGTTTGTGGATTTCTGTGGAATGTTATAGCAAGTTATAGAATCCAGGGATGTGAGACAATATGTGAATGGAAGAAAGGGGGGAAATAGAACAGTAGAATCTTGGAGGAGTTGGACATATGGCACATTTTTAATCTCCAATTCTTGGGACTAGTCTGGCATTGAGATTTTATATATATATATATATATATATGCATATATCAAACATTGGTGTGTTAAGTGGGATTCCTTACAATGGCTCCAGGCTCCTGGGAAGTCAATATTTGATTATTGAACGATTTCTTTGCTTATTCTTACCTTCAGTTATTGAAAAGAATATAAAAGATATTAAACTGAAGCGTCTGGCCAGACCCTGCTGGACACACCCTACCAGTTGCCTAAGGCCCTGTGATTATGAATGAGAGTGTCCAGATAAGAGAAGAACTTGAATGTCTTAAAAGACCTGAATGTGAGTGTTTTCCAAAGGGTTGTTTTTAGAATTATTATATTTAGTTGATTGTATTAAGGGTTATTTAATTCGCTCCTAAATGGCATTGTAGGAGCCCTGTGATAGCACGTGATTATGAATTGGACTGATAACCACAAATTCAGTAGTTTGAATCCCTAGCTTCTCCTCAAGAGAAAGATGGGGGTATCTACTCCTGTAAAGAGTTACAGTCTCAGAACCTCCCAGAGACAGTTCTACTCTGACCTATAATGTCACTATGAGTCAGTATCAACTCAATGACAGTG